TCAAAGTTCCTAAAATTAAAAATCATGAAAGTAATATATATTACTTAGCCTTTTAGCATATCTAAACAAAGATAAAACAATTCTAAATGCTCACTCAGTCAAACCAGTTTGACTCTATGGAGGAAAATCCATGTTGTCCTTGTCTGCCGTTGCTACCACATAATTGTTGTTGATATCCAGTGTGTGTGGCAATAGTGCGTTGCCTGCTGCATTGATTTATTGACTGTGGACCTCCCTATAGAAGGTCTGGCCTTCTAAGCTATAAGGAATTTTTAAATAGGAATTTATCTTCTTTTTGCACCTCCTGTAAACCCCAAGGGCTTATAACTCAGAATCTGACAATCTGCCATTATGATATTCATACGCACAATCGTTGTGACTAAAATTATTGAAGCCTGGAGCAATCAAAGCCTGTGACATAAAAGATTTGCTGCACCAAAGTGCTATAAAACCAGAGTACTGTAGTTACCACAGGTGAAAGTTACAAGAACTTGCCAATACCATCTCCTGTCAGATTAACACGTTGCAACATGGATATGATGAACTATTAGCCATAAAGAAAATTATGTTATAATGTTATTGTATTACAACCTTGTTCTCAGGCCTGGTTGGGGAGCTGGCTCATTGTTTTGCAGCTATTCTTAATAAACTGCTGCTCAAACCCCATTTGTAAGGTTTGTGGAACTACTTTTTCTACATCCTCCCTTAATGATTTTAACATTCTATATCAGTGGTTCCCAATCTTTTTAAAGTTGTGACCCCCTTTTAATAATAGCCAGGTAACCTGCAACCCCTCCCCCACCTGGTTTGCATAAAAAGGCATTTTAATGGTGTGAAGTCACCCCTTTTCAGAGAATAGAGGCTTCTTTCCCCCTCAAAGGGCCTGTTTCTCATAAACATACATACATGCTAACTCTAACATGCCGCTCCAAAAGGAAGAAATTATTCAATTATAACACCTATAAGGTGAACGAACTCTACCCAGCCACAAGGACCGGTGATCACTGCACACAAAAGATGGGATAACGACACCCATCAATCACAGAGACAGATCACCTCTCCCTCTTATCACAACAACAACAAAAAAACACACATGCTGATCACCATAATCGCCCAATCTCCTTAACAGGACAAAAGCTGATGCCACAGTTATACTCAACTATCCAAGCAAACTACACCACAGTAGAGACAGAGTTCTGACTCCTGTTCTCTGAAGATGTCGGCCACAGAGACTGGCGAAACGTTAAGAAGAAAACCTTAAGAACACGACCAAACAACCCGGAAAACAAACAACAACCATCGGCAAGTAGTACTGTACGTTTTTAGTTTTTCTTTTAAATCAGGCTGCTACAAAATATTAGCCTGCGAAATAAAACATACAAAGCATACAGCCTTAGTTGGGTGTCGTGAACAAGACCTTGATAGATCCCAGTTGCAAACGCAGAATGACCAGGCACAGGGCTGACAGCTGATTCCACATTTGCTCTTACACACACAGTTTTCACGACAGCATTTTGGATGCAGATTCTCCTCTCTGCTACACCACAAAGTCATGGTGTGATTTTGGGCCTGTCCATTTCTTTCCACACAGGAGTCTCACAGAGTTGCAGTAAAGATATGGCAAGGAGGAGAGACGCAGACACCACCTTGAGCTCATTGGAGGAAAAGGTTATAGATGTACAAACACGTAAGATGATCATTAAATGTTCGAATACATTTCTCTATCTACCGAGTGCATGACAGTCACGTCTGGCAAATCTCCGAAGTCTCTAATCCACAGACAATACCATGTGGCTGTAAGCATTGCACAGAAGAGGATGTGGCAAAGGTAGGACTGCTAGGAGTGAAACTCAATCCAGTTGGCACAGACAGCAAAAAGCACACCCTCCTTTCCACAGCTAACCTAAGACTCTCCCGGCACAAACAGAGCTTTAGGATATCCCCAAGAATTACAGCCAATCACCCAGAGGCCACTCAGGTGGCTTGATGTCATGCAAGCCATCACTTGATTTGCTTTATTCTTCCATCTTGAGTACTGTCGATTGGTGTGTTACTTTGTTTTTATATTTTAAATTGGTTATATTATATCACCGGAGTAGTCAGGTGACTAAGATAGGCGGGGTATACATTCAATAAATAAATAAATAAATAGCCTGTGGCCAACACATGATGACACGATAGAACACTAGGACAACAGAGGAGGGGTCCCACTTCCTTATCAATGAAGACGATTCCTTGACTCCACATCACAGCAAGACGGTGTTATTCCTTGCACTATGTCTCCGCCGTTTGCTCCATCTGCCTCTCCGAACAATTAGTGTTTTTTTCCCTTTCAAGGGGGGGGCACAAAAAACATTCTCATGATCATCAAAAGAAACCCAAAGCCCTCCTCTTTTCACGAGGAAACCAGAGACATTTTGCCGTTCCATCACCCGAGCATGTGAGCAAGAGATGAGGAATGACGTCTAGACTACTTCTAGATTGATGTGTGAAGTGCTTTTAAGTTCACATTTCATTTCAGCCACAAATTCACTAGGTATGCGTCCCTGGGGGATTTCTGATATGAGAAGGGCATAGGACGCCATGGGTGGAGGGCAGCGATACCAGCGGACAAGCTCAGAAGACACAGAGAGGGCCCTGCAATTATTCTGTTCACCATGGTTACGCTTTTTTCTTCCTTGAAGGCGAAGCCCATTTCTGAGATGGATGGGCAGGCGGTGTGCCCATGGATGAGCAGTTGACCCTAATGGTTTCAGTGGTGTTGATCTCGAGGGCTGAGCTGATCAGAAAGAGGAAAACTAAAGCATGCCCAGAGACAGATGGGAACAGGCCGATGATATCAGCAAGGTTTCAAAAGCCTTTTCCCAGATCCACACACATCCCTTCACATGCCTAATATTACAGAAGGTGGAGTCTTAGCCATCTTGGCAGTGGCAACACTGCTCCATAATATGGCTTTGTCCCAGACAGGACATTTTGAGCAGCTATTTGCCTGTGGAATTTTGTTGCTCCATTAAAAATGCTTTTTGAAATGTGCTTTGGAGGCTACAGGATGGCTGTATATTTAGTTTGAGATTGGATCTCACAGTCATGCAAGAGAAAATGGGTGAAGGTGGCCCAAAAGAGTGCTCACAAGAATTTGCACCAAAATCAGTGAGAAAAATGAGAGTCCAAGATAGCTCAGCTAAGAGCTATGTGTGGACATGGTTGTTAGGTTAACGAAGCGAACACAGCCTTGACTTTCTTACAGAGGCCTCATAACTTCAAAAAATGTAAATGGTACTTTTTAAGTGGACAAAAAGGAGCCGGAGGAGAGAAGGGGAACTCTAGCAAAACTGCTAAACTCCGCTCCAGCCCAGGCACGGAACAAGCCACCATTTTGAGTTTTAAAGACCATGAAGAAGAAATAAAAGGCATGTCCTGAGTTCTTGTGACAGTATTACTCCTGTCATACATAGGAAGCAAAGAGGAAGTCCCAAAAGCAGCAAAACCAGGGAGCTGGACAGGGGACAGATTGGATTTATCTTCAGTGTGGAAGGGATTGTTCCCTCTCGAATTGGCCTTTTCAGCCACACTAGACACTTTTCCAAATCCTCCATACAGAGCACGTGACCATTGTCTCTCCAGACTGAAGGATGCCTAATGGAACATAGGAAGCATATACAGTAGTCTCTTAGACTTGATGTGGTTGGAGAAGAAGCAAAGGACTAACTAATACGTCCTGCCAGGAAGGCTTGGCTGCTTTCTTAATGCCTTGACCTGCCCCATCTCTTGTGCTGGTTTCTGTCAGGAACGCATTATTTCTTGAGTAAACAAATCCAGATTTTATCCCACCTGCTCACTATAAGAAAGGAAATTTGACCAAGTAGCTTCTAAAGTCACAGAACTGGAAAATCTGCGGCAAGAAACTGACCCGACATCCCCCCGTGGCAGGTGTCCCCTTCCCAGCCTCATTCATGAGACAACCAGGCTTGTGTTGCCTCACAACATACCCTCTCATTGACTGCTCTCTTCCGAGCTCTTCTAGAACTCTTGAGGGCGATTCCCAACCCAGGTGGCTTACAAGTAGTGGGTTACAGCCTTGGGAAGAAATGTTTGTCACACAGCGCCCACTCTGAATGCTGAAGGTGCAATCCTTGGACGCCCCGATGCGGGGTAGACGGACCAAAGTTGGTCACTTGTTACAAGCCAGGTTCCTACGTTCTTGCTTTTGCCAGGCCTTGACTCAGAACCACGAGGTCTAGAATATGGATTTATTTTCTAATGCCATTGAGAGAGAACTTGAGGTGCATGCAGAAGGTTCGGGGTTCAAGCTCCGTCTTCAGGGAATGCTAGAGAGCATCTCATCTGAACGTCCAAGAATCCACTGTCATTCAGAACTGAGAATACCAGGATAGATGGACCAAGACTTCAGAAGGCAGCTTTCTGTATTCTCTTCACACGAATCATGCCTCCTACCCAGCAACCCACTAGCAAGGCCAGGAACGTCCACTTAAGAGCTTCTGGAAATGCTCCTGGACATCTGGCTTGGGGGGGGCACAGCCGTCAGTAGCAATTCAGAGTGAGAAGAACTCAGAAAATCCAAGTGCTCGAAAAGTAATTTTGAATAAGAAAAAATGAAGAGCAGAAGTGGTGGAAATGATGAAGGGGCAGCGCTAGAAACCAAAGAAATGTGTGTTCTAGTCCCCACTGAGCCATGTCACCCTCTCTCACATGGAGCTGTTGCAAGAGGTAGAGCTGGAGACGCTGACTTGAGCTCATTTGTGCAAATACAAGATCTTATGTGCAATACACACACCTAGGAGGAAGAAGCTTCCAAGAGTCTTTTCAAACTACTGTACAGTATTAAGAGTCTGCACATAATCTACCTAATTTAGTATGTTTCACATCTCTCTAATAATGTTATATTCAAAAACAATGACAATCCTTTTGTTTTGTTTTTATATGGCAAATTGGAAATTTTAATGTTTTCAGTAGATTTATGTCATTCTCCAACAACAACAAAAATTTAAAGAAAAAAAGAGAAAAATGAACTATAGAACAATCTTTAATACAGATTAACAACCCCAAAACTCTCTGAAACCAACAAAATGTATGTAAAACGTAAATCACATATAGTACAACTGAAGTGTCCCAAAACAATTTTAAATACATTTTAAATATTTTATTTTTTTCCAAACTTGCTACAAATGCTTTTATACAACAGTTTGACATAGAAGTCCCCATAAAACCGAAAAAGAAAACAAAAAAGTAACAAAATAAAAGGGAATGACAGTGAAAGAACAGGTGGTTAAAGTGGCAAAAAGTCACCAAACAATATTAAAACTACAAATTTTAAGAGGTAGATTACTTTTTAAGTCAAGAACAAATAAGATCTTTTTTTTAAAAGAAAAATAATGGGATGCATAAATGAAACTGTTTTTCACCAACTGAAAGGCTAGCTTCCCCCAAAGTGTGTTTGTGTGTGTGTGTGTGTGTGTGTGTGTGTGTAAATTAAGGTGATAATTTTGTTTTACAAGTAGGAAAAAAAATATGTAGCTTCTGTTAGTAGATATATCTGCTGATTAACCATAACTTGACCGGCGTCGTTGCTTGTGCTCTACAGCCTTGTATGAATGACTTCGTGGTTTCAGTTGCAGTAAACTGGGAACAATCAGGTTTTAGAACAAATGGACAGGGCTGAAACCTCTTCGTCCTTCCTGTCCCCAAGCCGGCTCACACACCAGGGCTGCGCTCAGCCCCTGATCACCTTCACATCTGCTTCCACTCAACCACTCAGAAAATCTAGGAAGGGATTAGAGGATTGGGAGGACCGGGGGGGGGGTGGAGGAGAGGGGAAAAGACGGAACTGTTCCTGTTCCCTACAAGTCTTTTCATTTTCTACCCGATATAAAACAAAAAGTTTAAAGAGACTCAGTGTAGGACCAAAATGAACTCTGAGTGCAGTTAGGATTTCGTTTCGCCTTTGACACACAGGGAGCTTCTGAGCACAACCTGTTTTGGAAATATTTTGGTGACGTCGTCGCCTCTCTCACATCTCCCGCCCTGGCCCGTCTGGATAAAAGCAAGTAGAAGCGTTAGCTATAAATTCCAGGGTAGGATTTGATCCAGTTGAGTTCATCCTTGTCCTTTAAAAAAAGGGTGGATGGGTACAGGCGGAGCCACCATCCCCTCGTCCTCTTTCCTTCGCTACCAAAAACTCCTCTCGCTGGGACGGAACGTACCCCAACCGGCTCCGCTGCTGGTACCTCAGCAAGAAGAGGACTGCCCGTGGCAGGTAAAGGTGGCTTCGGCAGGATCTTTTGAGCTTACAGGATGGGGGCCCTCTGTGCTCTGGAAATGCTCCTGCCTTGCTCAAGCCAAGCCACACCGCTGCTCTGGCTTGTCAGCTTGGAAACTGCATTTACACTTCGGAGGTTTTCACTTTGTTTCTCGTGTCACAGCAGATTCCTGGCGGGGAGAAACCAAAAGGTTAACGAACAGGAGCAAACACATTCAGAACATCACCACCACCGCGGTTGATCAACTGGAAGCACCAAAAAGCCGTCTATGGGAAATCCACTGGCAGGTCACGAAGGTAACAGCACTCCCTCCTCCAGAATATATGAGGGCGCACAGCCTGCTCCGGCCACTTTAACTTCCATGGGTTCTGCAGCAATCCTGCCATCCTAAGCAGGTGTGCACCTGTGCATCTGCAGGTGCGTTTTGAGATATGGCTGGGGATATAAAATGAGTCTTGTGTACATCGGCTAAGTGGTGGAAGGATCCCAGGTGGGTGACAGAATATGAAATGTGGAGCTGAACGCTGACGGACTGATGCACTTGAATTAGTGAAAAGGAAAGGGTTAAGGAAACCGTGTGGTATAGATTGTAAAAACAGCTAATTGTAAAGTTTAAAGACGGGACAGTAAATTAGAAGGAAGTATGCATGGATATTATGAGAATTGTTTGTCTTCAATGTTTGAATGGCTGGCCCTTCCGTTCCTTCCTTGGACCTGTAATTCCCTGTTAATTCCTTTATTTGATCCCGAGAAAAACCCTAACCCCATTATTTATTTTAAAGTATAATTCTAAAGATATTCAGGCATCAGAAACCAGTGTGTGTAACGTGCCCGTCAGCTCAGGTTATGCTAAACCATATCCCCGAGGAGGAGGAGCAAAACTTTACATCAAGAAAACCTTCTCACTTAACAACTGAACAGTATGAATTTCAGCAGTGCCAGGAAGGGCACCGGTGGGTTGGCACAGCAGCTTTGGGATAGGGATGGTTGTCCTTTGAGTTAACATCTGACCTCCTGCTACTAAGAAGAAGAGGCGAGGTTTTAAGATGATGGTGCCAGAGATGCGCTTGCAGCTACTTGGGGAGGACGGCACTCAACAAAGAGTTACATTCGTGATAAGGGACATCTACCGAGGGTCACTGCAGGTTCATTGTATGGAAGCCAGGGATTGGCATCCGGCAGGGGAATCTCATGAGTTAGGCTGGAAGGTGCATTAGTGTGCATTCACAGAGACCACGAAGAAGAAGCTACGTCGACAGCATTCCCTCTGTCTATCAGAGAGGTCACCTGATCAAAAAATTTATTTATTTTATTTATATCCCGCCTATCTAGTCAATTAAGACCGCTCTAGGCAGCTTACAACAAGAATATACAATATAATTAGAAACAATGTTAAAATAAGGGGAAACTTTAGGCAATATGGGAGAGACACTAGGAGAAGGAAAGAAGGGAAAATCAGGAATTGGCTAAGGGGAAGGCCTGCTGAAACATCAGTGTTTTTAGTTGATTTTTAAAAATCAAGATGAAATTAGTTCGGCAGGATTTGTTCTCAACAAATCCATGTTGGCTTCGTTATTACTGCCTTGTTTTCTATGTAAGTGTTTGCACAATGACTGCTTTAGGGTCTGTTCCGGAATTTTGCCTGGGATTGATGTCAGGCTTGCTGGCCTGTAGTTCCCAGGTTCCTCTTTTTTGCCCTTTTTGAAGAGAGGGACCACGTTGGCCCTCCAATCCTCTGGCACCTCTCCCATATCCCATGATTTCAAGAAAAGAATGGATAGCAGTTCTGAGAGTTCTTCAGCTGGTTCCTTCAGTACTCTCGGGTGCAGTTTTTCCGGCCCTGGAGATTTGAAACTATTTATTTATCAATCTCCAGCTGCAAACCCGTCCCCCCCTTCTTGCACTCCCAATTTGTTTGGAAGTTCATAGTCATGGGAAAAGACAGAACTAAAATAGGAACGGAGCCACTCTGCCTTTTCTTTGTCTTCTGTTATCATTTTTCTATCTCCATTGCGGAGCGGTGTCATTATGTCCTCTTTTTTTGGCTTTTGCTACTCACATTCCTGAAGAATGGATTTTTATTGCTTTTAGTGTCTCTAGCTGACCTCAGCTTATTCTCAGCTTTTACCCTCCTAATGACATCCCTGCATTTCCTTGCTACATGTCTGTGCTCATCCTTGGTGGCCTGGCCTTCTTTCCATTTCCTTTACATGTCTTTTTTTGTTATTAGGTCCTCCCTGAGCTTTTTGTGAAGCCACACTGGCCTTTTTTGCCACCTCCCACCTCTTTTTCTTGTTGGAATTGTTTATAGTTGTGCCGTTAGGATTTCTTCTTTTAGAAGCTCCCATCCTTCTTGGACTCCTTTTCTTGTTCGTTAGGATCTCCTTCCATGGGATCTTCTTTATCCTTGTTCTGAGATTATTAAAATTGGGTTTTTTAAAATCCAGCAGACATGTGCAGCTGCACTCTGCTTTCATTTCCCTTGAAATCAAGAATTCTAGAAGGCCATGGTCACCCTCGCCTAGAGTTCCCCTTACTGCTACTTCCTCCACCAAGTCATCTCTGTTGGTCAGAATCAAGTAAAGGATAACAAATCCTCTCATTTCTTTCTCCACTTTTTGTGGGAGAAAATGATCAGCCACACAAGACAGGAATTTCTTAGAAGGGCCAGACTTGGCAGAATTTACCTCCCAACATTTATCTGGATAACTGAAATCTACCATCACTACTATGTTGTGTCTCTTTAAAAACCCTGCAATTTTTTCCCCCCCGAAGTTTCATCCGCTTCCTCTCTTTGATTGGGCGGTCGATGGTAGACTTCAACTACCTTTTGTTTTTTTGCCCCAAGTAGATTGATCTACATGCTCTCGATGGGGCAGCCAACCTCCTCCTCCTGTATTTCTGTGCAGTAATGTGTATTTTTGACATATACTGCCACTCCACCTCCCATTTTTTCTCCCTCTGTTCTTTTTGATCAGTTTATATCCCTCAATTGCTGTATTCCAGTCATTGGATCCCTGTAAAGGGGCCTGGTTCAGTACTGTCAAGTTTCGGTTATTCCTATCAAGTCATACTTACCCTCCTGAATTAAAATTTCCAGTTCTTCTTGTTTGTTTCCCATACTCCTGGCATTTGAATACAGATACCGGACGTTGTGTGATTTGTGGCCTGTTTGTCTTTGTACCTTTTTATGAATATTATTATGGATATTATTATGATTATTGTTATGATTATTATTGTTTCTGTTATTACTGTTGTCCTTTTGCTCAGTTTGGTCCATTCCTCTTATTGGGTGTAAGGCTTCATCTCCTCTTAACTCAAGAGACATTTCTGTCCCATCACCTTGCACTGATTAGGCTGGAAATGGTACTCCCAACAGCAAAAAAGCGAAACATTTATAGGAACACAATTTTTACTAGACAATGTTTTTGTATGCAAAAAAATAAATGGAAAAACAAACATCTTTTAAAGAGCCAAACAGTGGCTTTATGCCAAACACAGGCTATTCCAGGTACATCAAAAGTTCAACTCGCTTCTCTCACTTGTTCAGGAACAAGCACACGGTTTTCTGGAATTCGCATGCAAACTTTCCTCTACAAAGCTGCCACCTTAAGAGAACTTCTTCCCTTTCGGAAATCATTAAGACATTTTTAAAAAGCTCCCCAGTTCTCTGCTGGGGCTTTATTTCTGCAGCTTTGCTTGTTGGAGGAATAATTTAAAAGCCTTTGACCATCCAATTCAAATGGGAAGCGCCATAATGCTATACTGCTTTTTTAATCCAGTGGCGTTAAAAAACCACATGTTTTTTAGGAGGGACAAAAAGTTACGGGAAGTCATGGGAAAAAAATCCACTATGTTTTTAGGAGGGACAAAAAGTTATGGGAAGTCATGGGGAAAAAAATCCACTACCCTAAAAGAATCAAGAGAACGTTGTACGGGTGGCAGGGAAAATATCAGCAGTATCCGTTGTGAACCAGGCCCCTTTACAGGGATCCAATCCTGCATGTTTTAAGCGCTGATGTTTTAAGCGCTGCTGTGTTAAACAGGACCTACTCGGTTTCTCCCTGAGTTTGGATGGCAGCATCCCGCTAGAAGGAAAGGTTACCTGAAATCTTTTAGTTCCTGCCTTGTGCTGGTTTCTTCCCTCTTCTCTGCGGTATCAGGACTGGTTACCTGTTGCAGGCTCCGGGTGACAGGCCCGCCGACCCTTTCTCTTGTCTTCACGCTGAACTTGTCAGTCTTTTTGGTGGTCACGGCCGGCCGGCTGGCCAAAGCCACCTTGTTCTTTTGTATCCTGACATGCAATCGGCAGGGCGTTTTGCCTGAGAGTTCGGAGGAGCTGTTTCTGGGCATGGCTTTTGGTTTTTTGCCCTCCGTGCTGACCGTTTTGGTCACCCTTACGGGACTGGCGTTCCTCGCCGCCGACGGAGCGCTAGGCTTTTTGGATTTAGCAGCTGGCACGAACTTGAGGTTCTGCTTCACCTTGAAGGAGGTGGAGGGCAATGGGACCGCCACCGGCCCTGAACTCCGTGCTCGGGTCTTGCCCAAATGAGCCTGGGGGCTTTGCATTTTGATCTCCGCATCGGCCGTCCGCCTGCGCTGGTTGCTACTTTTATCACTGCTGGAAGAGGAGGTCCCGCTTTTCTTTTTAGTGTTCTTTTTAGAGGAAGGGGAAATGGGCTTTTTTGGACAGCTGTAGGAAGCATGCTTGTTCAAGCTCCCGATGTACGTGAACTCCCGGTTGCAGTAGGGGCAGATATGGGAGCTGGGCTCCACCGTGCTGTTCCTCAACTCCGCCTTTTGCTGCGATTTCTTCTTTTGCAAAATGGCTTTCTGGACGAGCTGGTTTTTCTTCTTCAGTGCACTAATCTTGAGTTTGTTAGAGGACATCCTGCCTGCCTCAACGCTGAAACTGAGCCTTTTGGGCTGGCCAGTGCGCCTGAATGCCGTACTTGTTGGGGTGGGGAGGATGACCCCGTTCTTAGGTCGAACCGTCTGCTTCAGGGGCACCGGGTTCTTCTTCGGCGTGTACCGCTTTTTATCACTGGCCGACGCACAAGCCAGGATGTGTTTGTGCAGTTCAGGCATATTGTCTACGCTCTTCCCACACTTGGTGCAGCGGATGGCCGTGGTGAAGGTCTGTGGGATATTGTGAGTTGTGAAATTTGTGGCAGTGACTCCGATCCCATTGGGGTTACGGTGGTGATACTGGAACGGAGGGGGTTTGAAACTGGGATAGTGCTGATTGAGGCCCATTCGAACATCTGGGTTTTTCGCCTTGACCCCAGAAGCCATTATTTTGATAGTGGTATACAGTTCTTCGGAGGAGTCGTTCAGCTCGTCCTCCTCTTCCTCTTTCGAGGGTTCTGAGGAACCTTCGGGGAGGCTCGGCACAGGCTCCGTGTGCGCTTTTGTAGGGTCGGTGAAGTTCTGTGGCCGCAGCGTCCCGCTCTCCAATTCGTGGTGCGTGCACCCTTTGTCGGGATGAAGGTCTCGCTGATGCTGCTGCAAATTGCACAGAAAGGCAAATTCTTTCTTGCAGAGGGAGCAAACGAAGATGTTGCCAACTCCGTGGAGCAAAAAGCGATGGTCTGACAAGTCCGTTTTCTCTCTAAAAAGCTGGACACAGAATTCACATTTGAAGGGCCACTCCTCAGCGTGAACAGTTAAGTGTTTGGTGAGATCTTTGATGGAAAGAAATGGAGATTCGCAGACGTTGCACACAAAGTTCTTGTTAAACGTCTCTTGAACTGTGTCTGCTTCATCTGAGCCTTGTAGGTCTTCTCTTGCTTTCTGAGGCCTGTTGTCTATCTCCTCCTGCTTAAAATACATTATGGGAACTGAATTTTCTAGGTTATCGCCAAGGGAAAGGACGGAAGAAACTACGGAGAGAGGAGGAGGAGAAGGAGAGGAGGAAGAGGAGGAGGAGGAAGAGGAAGAAGAAAAGGAAGAGGAAGAGGACGAAAGGTTTGGAGGCCCAGGGGAAGCACAGCTCAGGGGTTCAGTGGAAAAAACAGGAGAAGCCGAGACCGTAGGAGAAAGGACGGGCAGAGGAGAATGAGCAGTGGCGTTTGAGAGTGGAGAGGGACATAAACTTGGAGCGATGCTAAGAGGTTCTTCTGGGAGAGGTGAAGGCGCTGTAGGAAGGAGAGGAGGAGGTGGGGTAGAGACCTTTAAAATAGGCAGGCAGGGTGGTGGAGAAGGGGAATTTGTGGGAGTCAAGAGAGGCGGCACCTGACACGACGCTGGAGGTGAAGGTTTCTCTGCCGAGGGATCTGGGAAACCTGGCTCGACATTAGGTAGAGGGGGATTGGCCTCCGCCTCCAAATGCACTTCTGCTAATTTGCAAGTGCCTAAGCTAGGGCTTGTTTCAGATGCCAGGTTTTCTGAAGCTGAATCAGTCCCATTGTATTCATTCAGCAGAACTTTCTGCAACATGGATGTGGTCGGCTTCTTCTTGGCGCTACTACAACCTGACGCAGCCAAGCTGCTACTCTCCTTAGCCTCAGGATCACCGCACGGCTTTTTATGGACACTGAGATCTAGCACAGATTCCCAGGGAACCTGGGCCTTGTTCTTGCAGCCTGCCCGTTGCTTCATGCTGCTGGATAAATCCAAAGGCTGCTGGTTACATACATTGCCAAACGGAGGGCTCGGCACCCAATCCTTTGGGGCTTTATACTCTTCCGAACAAAGAGGGCTCATGGTTTCCTTTTCTTCTCTTCCAGACAAGCTCCATGCCGGCGAATTGTTATGACTCTCCAGTTTGGGGAGTTTTGACCCTAAAACCGCCTCGTTCCAAGCAGACTTTCCTTCGCCTGCTCGGCCAAAGTCTCGAAGGGCTGGACTGTGCTGGGGTGAACTGGGAGGGGAACTGGTTCTCCTTTTGAACCTGCTGGAGGCTGAGGACAGAAGAGGCGAAGAGGCCGCAGGATGCCCCAGTTTGGGCATTTCACTTGATGATGATGATGATGATGACGACGACGACGATGACGACGGAGGAGATGGTGTTACTTTATTCCCTTCCTGCGTCTGGAGAAGCTGCTTCAGTTTGGATGACAAATACATATTTTTCTCTTTGGGAAAAAGCAAGCTGTCAGCTGTCGAAATCGTCAGCGGAATTGTCAAGGAGCAGAGGGAGGTCACCGGTTCCGGGTCTACCTCCGTTTTTATTTTCGGCAAGAGGGGAGGGCTTGCAGTCCTTCTCTTTCTGGGTTCAGCATTCCCCCCACCAGGCAACTCTTTAGACACTTCCGTTAAATGCACTGGGGTTGCCTTTACATTGGGGGCGATTTCCACCGTGACAGGACTAAGCAAACAGTTTATTCCATAGAGTTCAGTTGAGCTGGCTTCAACTTCAATAACATCACAATTACTCGTGCTGTTGTTAGACTGGATTTTACCATCCATGTAATAATTGAGGTTCTCGGATATATTGCTCGACACATCCATAATGTAAACGTCGTCAGCCTCGCCCTCCTCCTCCAGGTCTGTACTGGCAACGTAGACGTTCGGGGCCTGCTGGGTTTGTTCGGTCGGGAGATGGGGCTCCTCAGGTTTCCTCTTGACCCCTCTCGGGATGAGATGGCGCTCATGGACCCTTCGCTGATGCCTCCGCATATTGGTGTGGGTTCCAAACACCTTCCTGCAGTACTTGCAGGAATGGATTCCCTTGGACTCCTTGCTCTCCTCGTGAAGAACAGGGTTTCGTGGTGCAGGAGAAACCTTCTCGGGACCCACCGCTGCTGAGTCTTGCCTGGCGGGGGTCTCCTCGCTCACACCGCCTTCGGCCGTTGTCCGGTTCATGGCACCCCCTTCAGAGGGCTGGGTGGGAGAAAGCAGGAGGAACGGCTTCCTTTTGGGGCCAGCCTCATGGCGCCGCTCATGCCTCCTCCGATTGATCTGCGTGCCAAAGGCTTTGCCGCAATAGCGACATTTGAAGGTGTGGCTGACCGCGGAGATATGGATGTGCATGTGCCGCTCAAGGCCCTGCTTGGTGGTGAACTTCCTTTCACAATGTTGGCAGGGAAACCTAAAAGGCCCCTGGATGTTGCCGTTGGATTCGCTTCTCACTTTGGGAAACTTCGCCAAGGGCTTCTTCTTGGGAGAGCTTCCTGGAGATTCTTCAGAGAGGCCACTCTGCTCTTCCACAGATTCCAGCCTGTCGTCGCACAGGGCGGTGGGTTCCGTGTCTTTCGGCAAGGCAACATCCTCCTCTTCCTCTTCTTCCTCCTCTTCCTCCTCTTCAGGCTCTTCCTCCTCCTCCTCTTCCGGATCCTCTCCTCCTCCAGACTCCTCCTCCTCCTCCTGCACCTCCAAAACTTCTGGCAGGCCAATGATGGTCCCCGGCTTGTCCTCCGGTGTCACATTCGGCTCAAGGACAGAAGTGGAGATCACCAAATCTGGAATCAGGTCTTGATTCACCATCTCCTGAATCACAGCTGTCTGTTCCAGCGACAGCACTGCGGAAACAGAGGGCATTTCGTCCTTCTCTTTTGGACCTGAAAAACAGAAAACAGTAAAAAAAAAGGAAATCGAACATTGCAAATACAGCTGCACGGTTGCTATTCAGAAAAATAATATTGCCTTTTTGCTCTTTCACAACACTGAACAGTGCTACACATTTTGCAAAAGTGGTCTTTGCCCGGAAGAAGCAAGAGGAAGACTGGGCCATCCCTTTGTGCCATACAAATTTAATTCTAAAACATAAAACCATAAACCATGCATAAAACCATTCATCCCAGTGTGGTGAAGCCATTGGAACAGAACTTCTAGTTCTCACCGACAGAGCCTGACCTACAAACCTCACAGGGTTCTTGAGGCTAAAGAGGGGAGCAAAGCCACACTGAGCTGCCTGGAACAAATGTGGAATCCATACTTGATTAACCCATTTCAAAACAGCAACGTCTGAAAAACAGACTGCAATGTCCCTTCCAGAAGGTTCGCTTCTGTCCAAGGTTCTAGCCACCCATTCCCTTTTAAAAATGGCACAGATGTCTCCTGCAACTCCATTTTCCCAGGACTTTCTGTGACTTCAGAGCATGCGCCGTCCTCATCAAGCTGGGGGAGGGGGGAAGGCACTGCTGATGGTTCTTCAGGTTCTGCCATGAATGCTGACATTTCTTTCCCCCCCCACCACGCCTGGGGTCCTGCAGCACCCACAAGCTCAGTTTGCTAATAAAAAGCGAAGATAAAATTATTCACCACTCTCTCACACACAATGGTGACAGCAGCCACAAAATTAAAAGACGCCTGCTTCTTTGGAGGAAAGTGATGACAAACCTAGGCAGCATCTTAAAAAACAGAGACATCACCTTGCCGACAAAGGTCCGCATAGTCGAAGCTATGGTTTTTCCAATAGCGATGAATGGAAGTGAGAGCTGGACCATAAAGAAGGCTGATCGCCGAAGAATGGATGCTTTTGAATTGTGGTGCTGGAGGAGACTCTTGAGAGTCCCCTGGACTGCAAGGAGAACAAACCTATCCATTCTGAAGGAAATCAACCTTGAGTGCTCACTGGAAGGACAGATCCTGAAGCGGAGGCTCCAATAATTTGGCCCTCTCATGAGAAGACTCCCTGGAAAAGACCCTGATGTTGGGCAAGTGTGAAGGCGAGAGGAGAAGGGGACGACAGAGGACGAGATGACTGGACAGGGTCACCAAAGCCACCAACATGAATTTGACCGAACTCTGGGAGGCAGTGGAAGACAGGAGGGCCTGGCATGCTCTGGTCCATGGGGTCACAAAGAGTCGGACACAACTAAACAACAACAACACACACTGTCACACATGCTTACCTTCTCTGGGCTCCCTCATGTCAGCAGGAGCTAAAGCCAAAGAAGTGTTCTGTTTCTTATCTATTGTTTTCTTTCCTTTGTTTTTTGCCTCCTGGGATTTTTTCTTCCCTGAAAAAATCAAAATAAGTCACATAAGTTTTCCTTTAATGTGTTGACTTTTCCTCTTTAAAAAAAATCTTCAAAGAAGGATTTTTTAGTGAGTGTGTTGTGGAAGTTGTCAAGTAATCCTGGAAATGACCAATAATTCCACCCAAGATGGGTCAGTATTTGGGGAACACAGGAACCAAAGGTCCATAGCATCTGGAGGGCACCAGCTTGAGGAGAGCCGATTGAAATAATATTATTGTATGAAAACTCAAAACACAATGCAGAAAGAAACAACTGGAATTCTTAGAATTCATTACAAACATATTTCCTTCTGTCATAGCCTAAAGGGTGAAATGAACTGCTCACCACCCTTTGCAGTCCATGCTGCGTGTTTGAACTCTTGAGCACATCCCACTTTGTAGGAAGATTTTACAGATTCCAAGAATATGCTAAAAAAAAAGAAGAACAGACAGGAAGGAGAATTCAGGAAAGGACAGAAAGGACAGATTCACAGAAGGACAGAACGCTTATTTCACTGGTTTGATAAAGTTAAGACAGAATGTGCAAAGGGAATGCACACACTGTATACAAAAGGGAAAGTTTTGCAAAACTTTCAAGCAAGTGGAAGCTTTCAAAGTAGTGGAACAAGCCCTCGGTTTTGGAGCAGGGCCACCCAATCTCCTTCTGCCACAGCTGTGAAGGCCTTTCATCTAATAGCAGGTATTGCTCAGCACACGGTAAGGGAGTAGAGACTGGTTTTCAGTGGTGGGCCTACATTCTTGGGGCCTGAGGCTCGAACCTCTTCAGAATAATCTGCAAGGTCTGTGTAACCACTGTTATCTTCTTCAATGGGGTTGGTTCCATGACCGATCGCAACAAGCTGGGTGTTCAAGTTTGAGAAATGCACAATGTATATAGAAAGAAATGAGGCTGGACTGTAATTTTGTCATGATAGCAACATGCAAACAAGCAAGAAAACAGGAAGAAGAATTAGCCAGTTTAGAATCAAGTTCATAAGACCTCACTGGTTAGAGATTTCTAAGATCCATGGGAGGAGCAAAGCATTAGGGGATGGTAGTCTTTCTCTTCATTGAGTGAGCCTTGACAAAGAACAGCTGAGAATCCTGAAACTCCTCTGAGATCTTGTAATTTTTACATGAAAATAACTAGAATTCTGGCTGGAGGAATTCCAGGGAGTTCTGAAAATGCCATGTCTAATTGGTTTAGCTTTTAGATTCATCTATTTATTGCATTCTTATGTCACTTTTCTACCAACAGTGGAACTCAAGGCAACCTACAAATCATTAAAAGAACAAGAAAAACAGCCTATAAATAGCTCTTAAAATTATTGAACAAATAATTATTAAAATCATCATATTAAACAGATTAAAAATATAAAAACATTTAAAAGCACATTAAAAGGTTATATTCACAGTGAACCTAGGACGAGCTATGTTAAAAACAGATATTAAACACAGAAAAGCAGTCAGCATAGCCTCATGGGGGAGGGCGTTCCATAACCGAGGGGCCACCCCTGGGAAAGCCTGTCCTTGGGCCCCTGTCCAATGTACTTGCAAACACAACAGGGCCTAGAGAAAGGCCTCCTTTGATGATCTAAGATATGAGGAGGGTTATCTGGGGAGATGTGGTCCATCGGATGGCCAAGACCCAAGCTGTATACCCTTCGTAATGTGTTTCCCCCCCCCCCAAAAAAAGACAGGGTCTTCTATTAGTTTTTGCACCTAAAAACACATTGGGGCTTATTTTCAGGGGATGTCTTTTTATGTACAACCATCAACATTTATTCAAATACAGCCATGTCCTCTTCTTCTGGTGGCTGCACAAGGGTGGAGAGCAGGGTTTCACTTCACTGGGGCTTATTCTGGGGGTAGGGCTTATATTGCGAGCATCCTGAAAAATCATATTGGGGCTTATTTTCAGGTTAGGACTTATTTCCAGAGAAACAAGGTAGGTTATAGTTCATATTTTCAATGGAGCTTGGGAATGCACTAGTAACTAGTGAAGCTGCGGCAACTGTAATCAGCCGCAGTCAATAGTCTGGCGGCAGCATTCTGTGTGACTGCAGCCAAATCAGAGATTTCAAGGAACGGGAGCAACTGGTGCACTATATTCAACAGGGCAAATGCACACCTGGCTTCTGCTGAGATCTGGGCTTCTAGGCTTTGAGAGGATTCAAGGAATACTCCCAAACTGCAAGCCTGGCTTTTCAGGAGGACTGGAATCCTATCTAGTATTCCTACTCCTTCATGAGCCTCTATACCTTATCTGGAATTAGTTTCACTACGTTTGCCCTCATTTATTCCATTACTGGCGACAGACATTGGTTTAGAACAGAAACGGCTTCCTTGGAATCCGATGGAAAGGAGAGCGAGAGAGTTGTGTGTCATCCGCATACCAAACTCTAAAACGTCTCTCTGGTTTTGTGCTAGTATTAAATAACGTGACAAAACAGAACCCTGTGTGACACCCACAGGCCAAAAGCCAAGGCACAGAGTGGGAGTCCCCAACACGGGACGGGATATACTACGAAACAGGGCCTCCACGCCCCACCCCAGAGAGACAACACCGAAGGATACCACAGTTGAGGTCACGGAGAGGTCCAGAGGACCAACAGGGACACCGTTCCCCTGACTATCTTCGGGTGCAGGTGATCCACCAGGATGACCAAAGCGGTCTCTCTCCCATAACCAGGGATCTGGATTGAAAGCGATCTAGATAATCCATTTCATCCAGGAAACTGCGATTCCACCACTTAAGCAGCAAGCAAGTGCTCACTGTGTGGTCATGTTTACAAGATAAATTGGTCTAGGCTGTCTATCGCATTCTATAATTTATGCACAGTTATTTTGTGGTTGTGTGTGCTCCCCCCCCCCATTGTGTGAGGTTTTGGCATCGCTGGGGAAGGAACAGCATAGAAATGAAAATAATTACGAACCAACCCACTCTCCCAATTTTAGTTTTTTTGTTGCATATTAAATCCTTCACATCAAGGAAGCTCCTCCAGCCCCCTCTGCTGTTCTTTAAACTTACAATTTCTTCATAATTTGGAGAGACAATACACCGCACATGAGACCATTTGTTTGCCAGGATAAAAGTCTTTTTCAGAAGTTCAGTGAAACAATCCTTTCTTTGACCCTCCGATGCCCTTGTGCGTCTGGGAATCCAGCAGGCAAGTCACGATGCCCACCAAACGCACATAGCAAGGCAGACCCCCGACACTCTCCTTTCCCACCAAAGACATACATGCACACAGAAGCTCTTTGCACCAACACATGAACCTCAGAGAGTCATGTCATCTGTGAGGTTCCTCTGCTGGTGTAAAAAAGGGTACACGTATCAAATATCTCAAGAAGAGGGAAAGGGGGTTCCACCTGTAAGATACAGCTAGAAATATATAAGGAGCCTGTTATGCAGAAACCAGAAAGTACCATCCAAGCATCTCATCATGTAACATAAAAGACATCAGTCCCCAAAGGCAGCAAACCAGCGCCAGACCTGCCACAAGGGGTGAACATTATTGATGCATTTATTAATGTCACGGCGGTGCTTCTGAACGAACCAAGAGAAGAAAGAGGTTTCGGAATGGAAAGCCCATTCAAAATAGACCACTCGAGAAAGGGAACGGAGCCCCCCGTTCCTGATGGTTCCTGCTTCCTCTCCCCCCCTCAGAGAAAGCAGAACCGTCCAGAGACGGAGGCGGCTGTTCTGGAAGGCCAGCTGAAGCTCTTTGGGACTTAGCTCAAAGGAGGCCGATGGAGGCCAACCGAGTGGCTCTTCTACTTTGAGAAAGCCAGCCTATCCTTGACTCCACTTCTTTGGTGTTTTTGTATATAAGTGACACATAGCCTCGCTGCTTACATTTTATATTGTTTTTCTATATTAACCACCACAAAGCCATCCACTGTCACAAACTGTGCTGCTTTCATAAACATGTCTCCCCATCCTATTGTTGTGGGAGAAGATTCCCAATGGGACTCCAGGTGCTGCTTCGGTTTGTTTCAACCATCCATCACAAGACAGAGACTCAAAATACATGGGATACATGAATTTTAATATTTAAAATGCAGCTCCAACAAGGGAGAATTTAGACGGGAAACAGCACTCTGCAGGAACGCAGCGCACGTAGCCCACGATTCCCTTGGCATCAGACCATCGCCAGTATGGCATCATAACCATGGTGAAAGAACTGGGCTTGGACCTGCCATGCATCATCAGGCGTCTCGGGAATCTCACTGAATGACTGGGGGCCCAATCACATCTTCTCAAATTAGCCACTCTCTTTCAGGGTTCTTGTGAAAATACAATGGCGTACATCAACATACACCACCTTATACGAATGGGGAGGAAATGCAGGCTATAAACGGAATGAAATAACAGTGACGCCAACGCTGTTACTAACAGACCACGACTACTCTAGAGCACCAGCCTTCCTGTACCAGGCCAAAAGGGCCACATTTATTCCTGCACACAACAGGGAATCTCACAAGTCTGGCAGAAAACACTCTCCCCCTGATGGGTGGATTTCCCACCATCTGGTAGACAGAAGGACACTCCTCGGTCTGTGGAAGCTCTATTTTGCTATTTGGCTTATGGACCCCCTTTCAAAAGAGAGACGAGAAAAGGGAGATTTTGGACTGCAGTTCCCAGTTAGCACACTGTTCTACTGTAACATTTATGAAGCGTGTGGTGACTGCTCTGTTAGATACTGTGCTCCTTTACTGCATGACAGAGCAGAGAAGGCTGACCTGCCGGGTTCATCTTAGCCAAGTGGAAACACACCCACTGGCTTCTGTCGGCATCTTTGCCACGGCATGGGACCGGACGTCCAGCCAGCACAGCCCCTCCTTCTTCCCAGAGCAGCCCACCAGGGAGGCGTCTCTCAAAAGGCCGCGCGCCAGGCTGGGACAGCAATGGCTTTCTACCATTCTTGTGCTCCAAATACAGGCTGTGTTTGTATGGAGAGGTCCCGTGGTGTGACCCTAATCCAGGAGGAGACATCC